AATTGATTTTTAAGAAAATCAATTTTATCAATGAGTTTTGGATTTTTCAAATCATGTTCAATAGTAACAAGATTTCCTTAGCCCCCACATATTTCATTTTTTTAAAAATCAATTTGCTTAGCCTTTGCAGAAATATTATTAGAAATTATTTCATTTAAAAATTTCTGAATTGGCTGAGTTATGAACTCAAAAGTAATTTTTTGCCCATTAAAAGTTCCTGTAAAGCTTTGAGTATCCCAGTTAGTAAAAGGAATTAATTTATGAAAGAAAGGAACTCCTACTATTATATCATGGGAAATATCTTTGACCAAAACAAAACTTTCTGGTTTACAGACCTTATTTTGGCAAATATAGGCCTTTGGTAATTTATAAGAAATACCCATTAGATGACCACTAGCATTTTTAATCTATGCATGGTTTTATGAAAATATCTTGAAGGTATCACTCCTTTTATACAACTCAAATCTGCTCCACTGTCAAATAAAGCAATGAACTCTTTTTTAAAATTATAATCAATTAAAAGAGTTACTCTAATTATAAATTTTTGAGTAGTAAAAAACTGAAGTTTTTGTAGAAATTCCTCTTCTGCAAAATCAAGTGCTCCTAAGAATTTGCTTTTCGCAGCTTCGTCTTCTTTTTCAGTAATATCAATACTGAATCCTTGTTTGATATTTCACGGAATTTTCTAATTTGAAAATCGTTTTATCTTAAGGCTACATTTGAAGCCTTTAGATCTAAGATTTCCCTTTTGAGATTGGTAATCTCATTACTTATATCTTGGACAGTTGTCAGCCTTCCATGTCCAAAAAAGAAATCTTAGCTTCGTATATGGAAGAAGTTAAGAAAGATTTAATGAGAAATCTGGAGATAAAAATACCATATGATATTTCTATGACCTCCACAAGACATACCATGGAAGAAGATGTAGTCATAGCGGGAGAATCACAAGAGGAAGACAATGAAGAATTAGACATCGAAAGAGTAGAAAATTTTCTACTGCAATTCAAAGAGATTACAGAAGAATCTTCCACTAGAAACAATAAAGGAAAAGATAAAGCCTGATAGAGATGCAAAAGGCCACATTGATGAATTATCAGGATAATGAAGACAAAAAACTTTAATAAAGTAATGGACCCCGCCACTGTCGGGAATCTACTTTTATAAAAGTAGTTTGTCCGTTTTTCTTTTAACTTTTGACTTTTTTGGATTTACGCTTTATCTTGTCGGCCACGTTGTAATTATTTTGCAGGCCAATTTACTGTTTAGTTTTTGTTTGTTTTAGGTAAGATCCATTATATAAGGATCAAATTCTTTAGTAAAGAGGCAGGCTTCGGCTAACTTCTCTCTTCTCTCTAAAAAAAACCTCCCCATCTCTCTAGAATCCCCTCCTTTGTAAATCTCACTTTGTAAATTTTATATTTGGAATAAAAAATCAGAAAAGGCTACTTGGCCACAACTTCCCGCTCTCAGGTACTTTTTATTTTAAGTTTTAATTTAGTATGTTTATACATTTATCCTAAATGATAAGCTAAGTAATTCTGTGTAAACTTAGTCACGCTAAGCTACTCTTGAACATGTTTTGTTATTAGTTTTATTGTTTTACCCAATGGTTCTAAGGTTGGGACTATATAGCCCAGGCAGTTGTTAGTTTCGATAGTAAACACCGGTTATGGAAACATAACCAGTGGTCCTTAATTGACTCGTTTAGCCAAAGATGGGCGTAAAAGGGTTAGATAGGAGGACCGTGGTTTAGGGTTTATTGTGGAGGCTATGACTAGCCAGGACTGGAGTCTCCGATAATCTATTCCTGTAGCTCTATTAGAAGCGATTCGTATTAACTTGGTATCAGAGTCAGGTTAATGAGTAGAAATAGGTGCTAAGTTTAACATATTTCTTCTTAATGATTATCATTAGGAAAAAGGCTACTGTTAAAAACAGTAGAAAGGAAGAGTATGAATTACCTCAGCGGTTAGATCTGTTGAATAATGGGCTATACCATTAGTTAAACCTAAGGTTATATACCAACTAGGTACTTTTGAAAAAATAGGTTTAAAACAAGTAGTCAAAACTACTGAGGAGACGATCACGGTAGATAGTGATCATGCCACTTTTAGATTATTATCTGAAAATGATTTGGCCCCTTATAGGGAAACACAGAGATTCATACATATAGGTTTTATACAAGTTGCCTTTAAGCCACTTACCTTAAGAGGCTTACCTGAAAGCTTTATAGCAGCTCTCAGAGACGGCTGAAAAAGTCTCTAATAGGGACTGTACAGACCAGTTTGGCTTATAGCCCAATTTATTTTAAAGCTTATCCGAATTTACAGATTTCTTTGAGTGATGAGAACTCTTTAAATGCTTTAATACTTAGCATTAAATTACATGGTTATTACAAGCTTTTATATACTTTAAATCCTATGTGCAAAATGATGGATTTAAAAAATGAAACTATTCTCATAGGGACTAACTTTGGTAGATCCAAAGTTACTACCAGAAGACCTATTAAGTGGGATGCAATAGATTTTCCCAAAGAATGGGTCATAGAGGAAGCAGTAGCTCCTAAAAATACTGATAATACTGAGGCTACGGAAATAGAACAAACCTCGGATGGAACGGTTAAAATCAGGTTCAATGAACCTATTCAGCCGGATAATATCAGTCTTTCATCTAGAATAACTAGATCTAATTCTTATATTTCTCCAATTGATTATGTGGTAAATTTTCCATGTAGAGCATCTACATCACAAATTAGAGAGAAGAGAATTGATCATATTAGAATTGGACAGGATAATATTGCTAAAATTAGTTCAGATACTGATCCCACCCCATCCGAAATGGATTTTTCAAATGGTTTAAATGGATAAAAACCAAATAGATTTTAGTCCGGGTTCTCCGGCAAGAAAAATGATTGCTGAAAAATTTTAAAAATCCAGATGGGATCCTTTTAGAAATTGGTTTTTTGATAATTTTGATAATGGGTTAAAAACTTTCTTTCAAGAAGATTTTTATAAAGATGTTAGTAGCCGTAATAAAATTATAGCTTTTGTTCCGTGGTTTATGGCTAAATATGTTCATAATTATATTTCTGTTCTTGAAAAGGATTATAAACTTAGTGATGGTAAGATTAATAAATTTATTTTTCATCTTTTCAAATGGGCAGTGGACACAAGGTAGTTGAGTTTACAGCTTTTTCAATTATTTGAATATGAGACTGGCTCGATTACTGTTAAGCAGGTTAATACTATGCTTAAGCAACATAATTATACTAATATTTATGTGAGTATTCTAGGAGAGCAAATTATATCTCTCCAAGAGAGAATAGACAAGTTAACTTTGGAAATCCAGAAGTTGACAAAAAAGGATAACAATCCTGATAAGGGTAAGGAGCAAGTTGCTACCTCAAGTATCCAACCTCCTCCTGAGGTTAGAGACTTTAAGTTAACAAGTCTCTCGGATCTTGAAAAACTCCTTGATGAAAGATTTAAAGGCTTAAAGATAAGTCCTTTGAATCTGGATCATCTAGCAGATGAAGATAGAAAACGAAAAGTGTCAAATGAGATTATAAAATCTCTAGTAAGTACAACGAGAAATATGCTCGTAAGCCAACTTCTAGGTTATTCTACTATCCTAGACCAACCCCTCAAGATGTTCTTTTTGAAGAATCTGATGGCAGCAATCTTTCCCATAGTTTTAGTGGGACGGAAATCTATGAATGGAACATAGATGGCTTTACTGATCGCCAGATTTATAATACTATACATAGAATTCTTATGTATAGCACGATCTGTAAGGTTAATGATAATAAGGATAAAGCCATTGCTGAAATGATAGTAGCAGGTTTTACAGGCCAGCTAAAAGGTTGGTGGGATAACTACCTTATTGCTGAGCAGAAAGCAACCATTATGGGAGCAGTAAAAGAAGAAAATGGACAGAATGTCCAAAATGCTGTCTACTCATTAGCTATTAATATTATAGAACATTTCTCAGGAAGATGGTCTGATAATAGCGAGACTATTAGAACCATGCTTCAAATTTAAGGTGCAAAACCTTAACATCTTTTAGATGGTATAAGGATGTATTCCTATGTAGAGTTAAGGAGTTACCAGAATGTAATAGCACTCACTGGAAGTCCAAATTTATTGATGGACTCCCTCCACTTTTTACTGAAAGGGTTAGAAAAACTGTTAGAGGTACAACGATGAGTATCCACTATAATATTTACTCATATGGAAAACTCTTTCGTGTATGCACTCAAGAAGGTTTAGCTCAATGCAATGAAATTAAGCTAAATCAACAACTGAAGAAGCATCGTCTCACGGAAAGACAACAGTTGGGTGAATTCTGTGATCAGTTCGCCATTGATATTCCTGCAAGCAAGAAAAAGCCTCATAAGAAAAAAGATTTTCATAAAAAGAAAAAAGAATCTCCTGATAAAAGATACGAGAGAAAAATGAGGAGAAAAAGTTTTCAAAAAGCTAGGAAGATTACATAAAATCAAAAAATCCTCAGGCTTGCTACAAATGTGGTAGGGTAGGCCATTACGCTAGAGACTGTAAAGTCAAGGATAATATCAAAGAACTTGATTTAGATGATAATATCAAGGATTCCTTATATAAGATCTTATTAAATTCCTCCCCAGAAAATTCTGATAATAGTGATAGAGAAGATTCATGCTGATCCCAAGTAGTATGAGATTGAGGCAGAGTTGATTGGTTGACTGATTGGTCTTTTCACAAGTTCCCAAAACCACTTAGTTCCTTATTTTAGCTTCGGTTCCTGCTCTTTTGATGTGTATGTAAATTGCAAGATTGCTTTTGGTTTCTTCCGTTTTCACCTTTACAAGTTTTTTATTGTGTGTATTTAAATGCTGGTTGTATATATATTAGCATGAAGATGTCTTATAGACTACTGTGCTATCATAAGACTTGAAAATGCATGTTATAATCTGTCATTTTGGCATTTGCAGTTTGACAAATTAATTACATACCTTCATGCAGAAACTTAATCTAGTCAATGGCGTTATCTTCACTGGAGGACGGGTCAAGGATGGTCTCTACTTTGAGGTTGTCAAAGGAATATTCCAGGTGACTCTCTCCTATTGGTACACTTGCATCTAGTTATGCTACCACTGCTGCATTTTTCTGCACGGGTAAAATTCCCTGCACGTGATTGGTGAACCAGCATGGAATCTGGAAAGTAGTCTTGGCATGAATAAATTCCCTATTTTGTACTTTGAAGAGGATATCTTCCGGTTTCTTTATTTTTTTTTGTTTAGTTTAATGCCAAGACATATTCTGCTAATAATCATATTCTGAAGAGTTGTTTTTTGTTTAAGCATGTCCGAAGTTGTTTGTTATCAACAATCGTTGAAAATGATTTCCTGATATTGCAGAAAGTCTTGGAGAAGAATGATGCGGGTGAGCATTTCCCTCTTCTTGCCATCTGCTTGGGTTTTGAACTTTTAACAATGATCATCTCCAAGGTAATGAAGGCCTACGGGAAGATAGAGATGGTTTAACTTTATCAAAAGCCACTTAAATTGAGAAGTCTGAACTGTTATAACACAACATAATTGGTGGCATGGACTCTTGTGATAGTGTTTGGCCAAGCAAACAAACTCTAATGAGGAAATTTTTTCTATCGGAAGTAAGAAAGAGTTTTATTATACATTTCGGATAATGTTTAACCTCCTAGTACTTTGGCTTTCTTAAGATCCAGAAACTCAAATATGTATGAACAGGTTATGAAAATGCTTTATTTTTGTTGTACGTATGCAAGTTTATCCAATAAATTATAGTAGTATTTTTGGGTAAGACTCCATGGGCAGGCTTGCAGTAAACTATAGAAAACGGTATTGGATAATACCTTGATGAGGAATCAATTTGTTAATTCGGATTAGATCAGTAAGCAATATTGAATTATATATTGTAGTTGCTTGGATGTTTTAATTTCTTTTCTTTCTGGTTTTATTTTGTGTAGATCTAATTTATTTTTATAAAAGCCTAATATCACAATTGATATTATTGTGATAATTATTTCTGGCCTAAGTTGCACAGTACTTGACATCTAAGCTAGTATATTTTTCTAAAGCAACCATGAGCGGAATACAGTATGTGAGAGATACATTCCCGCTTTCTTAAATAGGGTTGTGGGATTCGTATTCCCCAGGTACTGTGCGTGAACCAAACAGCTCATCTCAATACTTTACTTAAGTTTTGTTTCATGGGTTGATTTTAAGATGTTTCTTTGGCTGTAATAGGACAATAACATTCTTGAGGAATTCAGTGCAGCCAATCAAGCCTCTACAGTACAATTCGTGGAAAATGTAAAATTGGAAAGAACAGTGTTTGGAAGGTATAAATTTTTCTTTAAAATTCTTTCATGTTCTCTATTATTCTCTTCTGCCCTCCATCTCCGCCCCACTTGGGAAAATCCCAGTTACCCTTATTCTAAAGGCTTTAGTGGCTAAATTTTTAATAGGTGCCTGATTGATAGGAAATATGACAAATAGTGTGTATATTTCAAACTTTTAAATTTGTAAGGGTTCGTAATGTCTTTTGTCTTTTACTGTAGTAGTAATTACTAATTATCAGATAACAACAACAAGCGGTTATTTAAAGCAATCAAGATTGAAACCTGGCTTTTCAATCTGATATGCAAGAAGTGTCCATTGTTCTTTCCTTATGTTTCTCCAATGGCTGTTACGAAGCAAACAAATGGTGGTTGTAAGACTGATTCCCTAGTGGTATTCGAACTGGTGTGAGATGCGTGTGAATACTTAGGTGCTATTTATCAAAAAACACTATAGATTAACAAGAAATTACCCTTAATCATACTGCATATTTGCAGACACACGTATGGGATACTTATCCATAACCGAGTCCATGTAGCACAGATTATTATGAGCATAGTGGGGAAGGCATTGTCTTTCTATTGTTCCGCCTGCAGTTTGGCAGCTACTGCCTGTAAGATATGCTTACATTTATATTGAATGAACTGTCACAACCCACATTTGCAAATAGCTAAAGTAATGTATGTAGTCATTCATGTAATTACATGTTTATAGTTTCTTAACAACTATGTCAAAATGCAGTTGTATAATATGTGAAGAGATCTATGGTAATTCTAATTTTGATGATAGACAATTTGCTATCAACTGTTTCCTGCAGGTTCCCCTCTGTGTTGATAAAGAAGATGAGTACAGATTGCCTTGTGATGCAAAATCATCATGTATGTTTTACATGATAGGTTTCTTTTTTCCCTTTGTCATATTGCCATTTTTGTAATTTATTTGCGATCAGTAAGAGATTTACCTTCTCTCTCTCTCTCTCTCTCTCTCTCTCTCTCTCTCTTCCCCCTTAGTGTAGTAGATTACTATTTGTTATCAGTACAAGATTTAATTCTCTTTCTCCGTCTTCATCAGTGGAGATTGTGATCACTTCATGATAATAATTGTACTTTTTGAGATCATGATTGCTCTAGAATGGTACTCTATACAAGAAGTATCACAAATACTTGTTTCCCTTTTGATGTCTAATCGGCTTGTATCTTTTCGGAAAAGTTTGGAAATGCTAAGATTCCTGCACTGATTTCAAAATCAATAGTCATTTTGTTATCAACTGACCTGCCTTGGGATTACTACCATATCTCTTTCAATACCTTCAGAATTTATTCGAGCTGCTGTCGCTCTACTACAGTTTCTTAGGGCAACATTATTTATATTCCTAAAGAATATTTGGCATCATTAGTTAACTTAAAGATGAAGTTGACTTTGTTTCTAACTATGTCAGACAAATACTTTTTCCTGATGATATGTTGGCGGTGTATACTCATAAGACCAGCAAACTACCCTTATGGGTGATCTTCTAAAATTAAGAACCATATTGGTAGGTTAACTTTTATATCAAATCATTCTCCCAGTTATTAGTGAAGGCAGCATAAAAGCCTATGTAGAGATGTGATGGAGGAGAGATAATTAGTGATCACAGCATAAAGCCTATCACAGCATAAAGCCTATGTAGAGGTGTAATGGAGGAGAGATAATTAGTTGATCACAGCATAAAAGCTTAAGATGATTGATTCATGTTGATCTTAGAATGGATTCTACTTATGTTAGATATTCCATTTGGCTTTCAGTTTTTATCTGTATTTTCTTGGAACTTTACTTGTCAGTTTTTGGATGCTGCAATGAGGCTGAAAGTTGTTTTTTTATGCTACAGTTTGGCATATCACCAGAAAGGCTTCAAGCAAATAAAGATTTATGTAGTTTTTTCAGGATATTGACGACTAGTACAGATAAGAAGAACAAGGTACAGGATGTATTCTATTCCTTTACCCCCTTTGGTATATCTATGAGACTATCACCAAATGATATCGAATGTAGTGTAGATTCTACTTGAGCTTTTTTGTTTCTGATTTGCTAATAACTGATTCAGGTCTATGTCTCCACTGCTCAAGCACGACGCTATCCCGTAACTGCTCTCCAGTGGCACCCTGAGGTACTGTCTTTGGATACTGTTGGCTGATCTATTTTGCTATCTGAAACAAACCGGTTTTAGCTGTTGTCTGAAAGACAGGAAATTGTTAGATCTGATAACATGTTCTGGAGTTTGGTACCCTTTTTTCTGTGTGGCTTTCATGTTATCCTTATTAAATATCTTATCACAGTTTTGTAGCTGCTCTGCAGGGTAGGAGACAAGCATGATTTAAGCTGCATTTTTTGATATCTGCAATGGCATTACTAACAATGTTTCATAATCAAAACTATGCGGTCTAATCACCATAGGAATGATTACATGACTCATAAGGTCTCTTAAATGAGAAGTAGTGATAAGACTTTTTACACGCCCGCATAGCTATTCCCTGGTGGGAATAGTTGATCATGATGTAAAAGATTCTAACTCTTTGACACCATTTTCATCTGAAGTTTTGAAATTTAACTGCATTAGTTCCGTATGTCATTGCAGAAAAATGTTTTTGAATGGCGCTCATCACAGATTCCACATACCGAGGATGCAATTCAAGTAACTCAACATGTTGCCAACTATTTCGTCAGGTGTTGTCCTTTTTTCCTCAGTTTTCTTGTCCCCTTTTTATCTGTGTAGTGGGGGGGGGGGGGGGTAGCGGTTCAGATGCAGCACACAATAGGGAGGCAGGAAATTCTTTCTAATCTCAAATATTTGATGTTCACTTTTTCATTTTTGGAAAATAATTTGGAATATTGACTATTTGACTTATTTAATAACTGAAACTGCAATTGATATTGCATAAAGCTAATGGTTTTCTTAGGAGAAGTTATAGGTGATTCATCCTATATTGTGCTAGATTTATGTTGTTAGCTAAGTAGGTAAAGTGCAGATTTTTAGGCATGATCGTTTCTTCAATGTAGATATATGACTTCACAGGTTGTTTGAAATATAACAAATGACTTTAGTTCTTATTTAGGTGCAAGCTGTAATGTGTTCCTACTCTTCACTCTTCAGTGATGATTGCTCTACTTTTGCATAACCTTTTTAAAGAAAAGCATAAGAACTATCCATTTACATATATCCAGAATTAGCAGCTCATTTCTAATTCTTTGCCACTCTTTCTGCTGTGGAATGTGAACCAAAGTGATTCCAGAACCTTTCAATTTCTAATACTGTTGTGCTTCTAGTGTGTCTTGTTTTAATTCAGTTGTTTATTTTCTTCGCAAAATTGCAGTGAAGCAAGAAAATCTTCTAACAAGCCAGCGCCTAGCAAATTGCTTGACAACCTCATCTACAATTATAGTCCCTCTTTTGCTGGGAAAGCTGGGTAAGCTGTTGAGATTCTTGAGAATTAGAATGATGGAATTCAAGAACTTAATTAATTCACACTCTCTCATACTGTAGGGGTAGTTTTGATGAGGTCTACCTCTTCTCTCCGCGTCCCACCTTGAGCTCTCTGTAAATGCCAGTGAACTGCAAAAGTATTGAATGTTCTAAGCTTATACATGAGAAAGATGCCATGCGAATGTTGTTCACGGTTCGGTCTGGTCTTCAATCTCCAGTTATCCAGCAACTCCGACAAGCGAATTGCTTTATACCACTTGTATTATGATTGTTTATAATTCCTCTGCCCAAATAGGTTCCAAACATGGCTGAGGCAATGATGTTTGTATGTCACCAGAAAGAGCATACAGTTATGTATTTCGCCTCTCCCTATACTAAGGGGCTCATCTGCATACATACATGACAAGAAAAGAAAAGAATTACTCTTCATTTTATGTGGCATGTTGAAGTCAGTGTAAAAAAAGTTTTAGACTATCAAGTCAATCTAAAGAATACTTACAGATAAGTCTCTATAGAAAAGTGAGATTTGTAATCTTGAAAATAAGGCAGGTTACGTGCTTCAACAGTAAAGACAACCTAATATTTGTATATAACTTAAAACTCTTTCATTATTAGTTTGTACCAAATAAGGACAAATTTTTATATTTGGAAACAATTCAACTTATAAAAAATTTCACTTTAATGACATGTTTAGTAGCTATAAATTTTTTATGACATATTTAAAACTACAAGTTTCAGAAGTTGTTATTTTTTTTCCTAAACTTCGTACAAGCACGGCCACATGAGTGGCAACATGGAGTATAAAATAACATTAGCTTTAGTGCAACGAAATGAACAAGATGTGGTAATTTGATTCCGATAACATATGTATCCCACGGGATAAATTTCAACATTTGATTTGGGTAATACTTTTTTCAATACAATTCCAGCTTCATACACTTAAGTTTACTTTTACTTTTGAAAAATATCAATAATCCTCGATGTTCCTTATTCTTGTTTTAATAATATCTTTACATTTTTAAATATCTGCACATGAGAGATTATATTAAGTGGCGACGTAAAATTTAATAATTTAATAATAGCTGTAGATAACAGCGAAATGATGAATTTCGAGTTGCAGAAAATGATGATTTAGAGCAGAAGTTTTAATTCAAATTAAAATGAGACGAGCACTAAATATTTTATGTCAAATACATATGATGTCAAGTGGTAGACTATCTCCAAGCACGTGAAGCGCACGTGAGTTCCCAAAGAACACAACCCTCCCTATCCCCAGTATAAAAACCCCAAGTCCTTTACAATGGCGGGAAATCGAGTGCTCTTTACGGGGGAAATTTGGATACTGTTTCTCCTCTGTGAGATTTGACCCGACCCGTACCGGACGTACCCGAAAATGGCGGATGATATGGAAACCCTAGGCATCCTCGATGAGATTCAAGCTCTTGTATCGGACAAACTTCAAGTGGTAAACTCTCTCGCTTGTTTCAGTATATTCCCTTTTTCTTTTTACTGTTAAATTATCATTTCGGTAATTTAATATAAAGGTTTTAATTTTCATATTTCTAATTGCCATAATAAGTGACCTGTTAAACGGGATTTTTGATCCCATCAGCTGACAGCTCCTTACTTTTGCTAATTTCACTAAAAGAAATTAGAAAATGCAATTTTCCATTGATTTACAATGCTTAGTTGTTTTAGAAAGTTTTCTGCTTGCTGATTTTGAAAAAAAAAAAAAGCTACTCTCTCGGTCCCACTTTATGTGACATTGTTTGAATGCAATGGGGTTTTAGATAAAAAGTAAGACTTTTGAAACTTGTAGTCTAAAACAAGTCATAGAAATTTATATTGGCTATAAATATCTCATTAAGGTAAAATGGGAAGCTTAAAGTTAAATTATTTCTAAAGAAAAGTATCATTCTTTTGGAATAAACTAAAAAGAAAAGGATATAACAGAAATTGGGACAAAGGGAGTATTTTTTATTGTTTTAGAAAGCATAGTCGTTTTATTCCAGAAAGCTTTCTGTTTGCTAATTTTGAAAAAAAGTAAAATAAAGATAAAGCTAAGTTTCATTGATGTAGGAAGCACATATTTCTTGGTTCAGACAGTTTTCTGTTTGCGTTAGTTGTAGAATTTCAGGGGGAATGGGAGCAATTCTTAATAATTCACTTTCCCCTTGTTTTTGGTTGGGTTTTTTTTTTTTTTTAGGGGGGGGGGGGGTATGCAGGGGCAGATCTGGAAGATAACTTATGGACCCTATATTTGTGTTAAGAAGTCCACTGAATAGGTACAACTAATAGATTTCGAATCCATTAAATCAAATGGGGTGTGGTAGACTTAAACCCATAGTGATCAAATCCTAGATCCGCATCTGGGATGATGCATACACACAACAAATGAATGAGGAACAATCCAGGAGCTATAGCTCGAGGAAGATGGAAGCTAGATCAGGATATGAATCCGAGAATTCTAGCAGAAGAAGAAGAAATTTTTGAGAGGAGAGAGAAGTTATATTTCATTCAGGGAATCCCAAATGTACCTCTTGTAACTGTATATATACAGATTGATGAAACATTTACAAGATGAATCTGCTCAATTAGAATTGTAACCTACTAACTTCACAATATCAGTTACAAAAATGAAAGAATTTCTAAGTCACCAAAGACTTGGTAGCCCTTTTACTAACCCAAGTCAAAGAATGTGTCTTTTTTCTTTTTATATATATTTTTTTTTTTTTTGGGGGGGGGGGGGTTTAAGGGAACAATAAAGAGTAACCATCTAAACTTCTATATTTATTGGGATGCAGGTTTCATACAAGTGGCTGAGTCGAAATTTTTTGGTGTCATCAGATTCTGCAAAGAGGTGAGAGCTTTTAATGAATTCTTCTATAAGTTATGTTTTGGTTTGTCCATCTTGTAATGCTAAGGCTAGTTGCTTGTTTATAACAGGTTGCTTCAGGAATTTGTTGAAAAGCATGGAAATGGTCTTGAGGTAGTCTATAGCTTGTCTGGCTGGTTGAAAACTAGCCCCTCAACCTACCATATAAGACTTGTCTCTACTCCTAACCTCGCAGGTTGGATGTCCTTTTTAAATATCACTTTGTAATGAAAATAATTTGTTTTACCGGGCGTTAGCTATATACATTTTGCATTGGAGCGAGCTGAACTCGTTGGCCCCTTTTCCCATTCTCTTACCAAGTTAGCACCTTAGTTGGATCCATATGGAGGATGTTCCTGATATATCAAGCCAGTATTGGGGGCTGATAGCTGAACAAAAATACAAAATTCCTGTTAGCTGCCTCACTGTTTTTTCATATGTCTAAAGACTGATGTGTATGTTCTTGGTGCCAGTTCTCTGTTTCATACTAGAAATCTCAGTTAATTATTTTAAGTAAAAAAGGTTTTCTCCATAGAAGAAGCATAGCTCTTGTAATATTACGTGGAAGGCTAAGATTTCTCTTTATTCTGACCGGGTTCTTTTACTTTGACTAGTTACCGGTAATAGATGGTTAGATATTCAGAAGCTTAATACTTGGTTCAGCTCATGCTAATAACAATATCTGCATTCTGATACATCTAGCGCCCTATACAAGCTTTAATTTCGGGCTTTATTGGTGTGGACGGTGGTGGAGATTCTGTTCAGCTCTAGCAAGTATGTTTTTTTTTTTGGAAAGGTAAAGGTTTATTAACTGGATACCAAGATGGTACCAGAAAAGAGTACAAAACTGCTGGGAATATCCATGCAGTTAATTACAACATTTTCTAAGTAACTCCATAAAATCCATGTAATGATCAGTATTATCTACCAAACTACTATTACACCAAAGAAATAGATTGTGCAGACACTTGTTTTTTATTCTAGAAATATGATCTTTCTGCCCATCAAAGCAAGCCCTATTCCTCTCTAGCCAAATAGTCCAGAATATGCACAGAGGTATGGTTCTCCAAATCTGTTTTAAGTGCTTTATGTGTCTTCTGATGCTGCCAACCATTCAAAAGGTTCCTGACATTCTGAGGCATGGTCCAAAAAATCCCACATAAATTGAAAAAAAGCTCCCAGCACTGTCTAGCATATCTACAATGCAAGAAAAGGTGATTAGTAGTCTCCAGTTCTTCTTCACACAAATAACATCTGCTACACAGAACAAAGCCTCTCTTCTGAAGATTATTTTGAGTAAGGCAAGTATGTAATTTTGAGTCTATTGATCCTGCAAGAAACTAATAGTAAAGATAAAGAATTTGAGACTATAAGTTTCTTGTTTGTCACTTGGAAAGATGATAGATCCACGCCCTTGATCCATTTCGTTATTTCCATTTTCATGACATCAAAAACTGGTTGAGTATATCAATTCTGAATGAAGAATGCATTAAGATGATTCCTAGTTACATAAGTTGTTTGCAGCTTTCTTATCCTCATCCATTTATGAGGTTGACCTTTGGCTGATTGAAGCTAGCGTGTTAGAATTGCCATTTTACCTTTCATTAAGCTTTTATGAGTGTGTCATTTTGATGGAAATATGCTAGAAGTGAAGTTTTATATATTCCTATCTGTTATTCATGCGCTTTGGTTGCCGTGGCTAGTTGTTGCAACTATTATCAAAGATAATCCGGCTAATTTCTATGCAGAAGCCAAGAAAGAATTATCAGACGATTGCTCAGTTCAGGTCTATAGCGTGCAAGCTTGCATCCCTAAGGATCCAGTGGCCCTTTGGAATGCTGAATTTGTCCAGGCTGAAGAGCTCTTTAGGCAGCCCCTCTCAGTTGATAATTGTTTGCTTGACAATAGGTATAGGATTTATACTTTAGAGTGGATAATTTTTTCTCTTCCTTGATATTCAAATCAGGGTCCTATCGAAAACAACCTCTCTGCCCTATCGGGGTAGGGGTAAGGTTTGTGTACACATTACCCTCCCCAGACCCCACTTGGTGGGATTTTACTGGGTAGTTGTTGTTCCTTGATATGCAAATCATTAAGAATTTTGACAAGCATTCATTATTTTAGAAGTGGTTAGGCAATTCATGTTGTGAAGTGCACATGTGGTGTTGATTCCTTTTCTGATGGTCACTGGTATTGCAGATTTTGTGGAGTTTCAAATCCTTTCGTCAAGCGCAATGGTGGAGGAACAATTCCAAGCACTGCTACTGTTCCTCAGGTGAAAAGTGGAGCATTAGGACTTCGTAAAAGTAACTCTACTGCTCAAGCACAACCTGAGCAGAAAAAGGTTCAGGTACCAAGTCCTAGTGCTAATGTGCCATCTACGAATGTGGTTGATGCCAAAAGTGAGAGTCGTGGCACATCAGGTCCTGGACAGGGTAGTAAGCTTGCTGCAGAAAAAGACAAAGTTGCTCAACTGCCGGCTGCTAAGAAGATAGTTCAGTCTGACAAAAGTTCTGCTAAAAATGGCGGGGCATTGGCTAATATGTGGGGTCGTGTATCCACAAAGCCAAAAGCCGACAGTGTTTCAGCTGCTACCAGTGATGCCACACCAAATCCTGCTGGTTTGTCCCTTTGGCTGT